TTCGCTACTTTTGGTCCATACGTCGTTTCGTGTTTGGTTTAGGTAGTGTTATTTCGTGGCTGCAGCGATTTTGGCACCGTTTCCACAAAAATAAATAATAGGCCCGCTGAGAGCACTCCTGCTAAATATAGGCTGTCCTACAGGTCTCGCCCAGCATGCACTTATGCAAAATGAAAGCCAATGAGCATCGCGTCTTGCTGATGAGGATGAATCGGTAGCAAAGCATGAAATGAAAATCCTAACCTGTCGTATGACCGGTGACTTGTCTCGTGACGTGCTGCTCAGTCCTGACCACCCTCTGCTGAGTCTGCTGGGTCTGCTGCACCTGCTGGTGCGTCTGCGAGACCTGCTGCTGCTGCTGTCGATTCATCTCGTCACCACAAAAATCCGCACAAACACAAAAATCAAAATTTCAGAAAAAATCAAATCTGCACAAAATCACTATTGTAAAAGTAGTCTATGTCGCGTTTTCGGTGCCTTCCACGGCTTCAGTTAGCAGAAGTTCAAGTCATCATCCCCGATTCTTTACCAAGACGTCGGTCGTTTGCGAATTGCGAGCGAAGAATGCAGGAGGCTCTCCCACTGCGGACGCCACTGCCGCACTGGTGGGGGCTAAGGGGGCTATTTTCAGCGCGATGATACGCGATACGTGACGGCTGCTGCCCTGGTTAGCGCTTCTCTGACTCAATTTTGTTAATTCGGATGATAATTAGCCGTGCTCTTGTTGGCTGGAAAAGTTCGAGAGGGGGCTTTCGAGAATTGGCCCACTCTCGAGGAAATTGTCTTGCTAAGACTCAAGACGTTTTATTGCCTGGACACTTTTTTTTTGATAGCGCTAAAAATAAAGTGCGTTGGGAGAGGAGCTGCCGAACAATGGGGGACACCAGGTGCTAGGAAAACTTTTTTTTTTAATTCAGCTACATTCATTGTAGAAGTCGCCGAAGAAGTTCAAGAGCGTCGCTGTTTTGATATTTTTTTTTTGCAATAATTTATCGCATTTTCTGAAAAGAAAAAATGGGGAGCTAAATGCGGCCGCTTTTGCTAAAAATATACCGGTCTGATGTTTTCAGCTGAATCATTATTTACATATTTTTTTTATATTTATATAAAATAAATTATTTATTTATTTTATTTGAGGTGAGGATTTTGTTTTCTCTCGAGTAATTTTGTCGAGATGTGCTCATTATGATTTTTTTAAACAAACATCGCCGCTTCTACGGTAGTGAGGATTGAAGCTTGTCTAAATTTCTCTAGTTTATACCTAGTTAACTTTATCAACATTTGGTTAACAAACTTTTGTATTACAATAAATAAAAGTTGTAATTCTTTTCATTTAACAATGTGACAGTTTAGTTTTGTTGTAAAATTTCAAAATTTTGTGTTACTAATTTGTTAAGTATTAGCAATACAGTTGTTTTAGAACCACGATATAAATATTTCTTGCATTACGACTGAAGTTCTAGAAGTAGTGAGCTGCAGGTGAGATCATAAAAATCTATCTTTAGAAATTTTTTGTGCCCATTTTTGTCATTTTTAAAGTAACATTAGATTATTATATTGTGACAAAAATAGAGCAGAATGCAAAGATCTGAAAGCAAAAAAAAATTAGAGAGTTTTTACTATGTATTGGATCAGACAAACACTCTATTGCAAACAAGCTTTTTGCAAAAATTTTAATCATAATTTGTATTTTTTCAAATATTACTTTTATTTCAAATTTATGTCCCAAAACACTACTACCTTCTATACAAAGTGACTACGTATTCCAGTTACATATTACGCGGTAATTATGTCTAACCTAGAAAAAATTTGGCGGTAAATTAAGAATAAATTAAATTTATTTTTAAACTATGCAAATTATTACACTCGATCTACGTTTAAGCCTGTAGTAAATACCAGCATAAATTTTATGTAAGAGTTAAATCAAAAATTAATTAAAACATTTGTATTTTTGGAAAATTTTGTGAATATTATTTGGCAGTCATTTTGAATTACATTTTATGATGTGTCACATTTATTCTATTTTTTCGTAATTACGTTACCAATTTTTTCTATCGACCGATTCATTAGAAATTAAGATTATTGGCGCATCGAAGTGAGCGGTGCTTTTGCAGCTTTCTAGAAATATGGATGGCAAATTTATATTTTCGGTAATATACAGGGTGAGCTATTAATTATTTGAAATAGAAAAAAATGAAAGATTAAAATTGTAGGGTTCTTTTAAGACCATGTTTTAAGATTATTTTTCCAACTGTACAGTGTGTACATTCAGATTAACCTCTTCTTAGACTTTATAATCATAGATTATTTTTTAAATTCCGATGTAATATTGACGTTATTCCAATTTCCGTGAAATATATAATAAATAAAACGGAGTGTTAATGTACAAATAGGACACCTGTATTTTACTATTGCACATCTTTTATATTTTTTGTTCTCTTTGTTTTCTGTAATTAAAGTTCATCTTTATTGCGATTTTTTACATCTTTACGAGACATAGCGACATAGTGAGAAAAAAAAGAACAAAAAACAGTAAGATGGAGTAATAAAATATAGGGTGTTGTAGTTGAAAATTGTAATGGTTTAGATTTTTTATAAACACTCTGTATATTAAAATTTGTTTTAATCAATATCTCAAAAAAAAACTCGTAACTCTGTTTCTCTTCATAAAACTTTGTAAGACAGATTTGAAAATAACTTCATTGCGATTTTTTTGTAAATGCTTCCAGTGTTAAAAAATTTCAATAATAAACTATAGTTAAAGACCCTAGGAAAAATTAATCAGAATATCTACCAATATATAGGGTGTTCTATTTAAAAAACTAAAAAGTACTGTGCTATGCCTCAGAAACGAAACACTATATTATCGAAAATAATTTTAATGTACTATACTTAAAGAACAAATTTAGTCTGCGACTTTTTTCTATTATCTCTAATAATATAAAGAAAAGATATCAAGGCCGCGCACTTGGTGACTCACCCTGTATATGAAATATATGACAAACATTTATAATCACTGTATACAGGTGTTACAAAAATGACGCATAAGATCAAAGGTACATTGTTAAGAAGGCTTTGAAGAACTCGCAAAAAAAAATAAATAAAAAATTCGTGAACCAAATTTTTGGATGTATTAAACTTCAATACTAAGAATTAACTTCGTAATTCTGACATGTTTTAATGTGACAGTCTTAAATTCCTGTCAAAATTGATCTGTCAACAGTTAAAAATGATGTGTAAATTCTATGAAATTATTGTTAAATTATTAATAAATAATTATTTAATTGGCTATTAGACATGCAGATCATTAAAACAAATCAGCTTTCAAACTTAATATCTTAAAAAATTTGGTTCAGGCATTTTTTTAGAGTTATTCAGAGCGTTCTTGATAACGCACCATCGAGTTTATGCGGCCTTTTTGGAACATAAAATAATAATGTATAAAATCTGAACTATTATAACTTTTTGTAGTTTACAGTCATATATCTGGAATGACTCGTATTTTTGGTATATTTTTTACTAATGTAATTATTATTTTCAGGAAAGAATATAATGGTTATAGTACCACAGAAATGGGATGGGATGAAAGCATTATTATCGTGCGAATGTGAGGTTTGCTGACAGCGAGGCGTTAGCTGAGTTGTGTACTCACACGTGTGTGAAAATAATGCGGTAGGCTGTATACAAAATTTCACTTATGACAGCTTCCATGGCGCTTTAATTGCGCTAAAATAAGTAATACATTACTACACTAGTGCGGAAATGTAACTTTTTGCGGAATTCAAATGATAATGATCAGTGAAATTTGTGTAGACAAAATATTACACTGTGGCGATGCGATGGATGAAAAATTTGGAACATGAGTTTTAAATTGGTCAGAATTAATTCCTAATTTTTCCTTCATATAATTTCTATATATAAAGGTGAATTAAAAATACGATCTTTCGCCTAAGGGGGTGAAAAATTCAGCTTATTTAAAATTTTCTTAATTCATTAAAGAGGAAATGTGTTTTCCATCACAATAATTTAAAGATATGAGAATATACACGGTTTCTAAATTTATACAATATTATAATACTTACTATATAACCAAACTACATTTAATAAATTTTATAACTCAGTAAATATTTACTTTTACATTTTATCCATGGTATTTTATTTAATAATTACTTTTTTCTAAGATTTATAGTTAAAAAAATACGATCAAAGGCAGCCATGACTTTTTGAAAATTTGAGTCCATAGCTGCCTTTGATCATGATTTATATTGAAGAAAATGTGTAATTAAAGATATAAATCTGGTGATAAATACAATGATTTTTCTACAAAATTTGTGTACCAGGATCTAAAAATAGTTTATAAAAATTTAGATAATTTTGATTTGGATAAAAAATTCTGCGGAATTTGGATTTTGGGTACTCTTAACAGCAAATAATTTACGTAACGATGCAGTAGTTAGATCATAGCATAATAATAAACCTTAATTTTTTATCATACGGTGGACATTAAGCTCAGACGTTTTACAGCTTTTACGAAGCACTTTCTCGCAAATTCCGAACTTTTATTTATAGTGTCATCTAAACGTCATTGTACCTGATGTAAAAGGTGCACAAAATCCATTCTAAGTTTGATTATTACCTATGCTATACTCGTAGACGTGGTTTGAAGCAAGCAAGTAACATTATTTTGATCAGAATCTCGTTTTTGACTTAAAGATTCAACTTGTATTGCACTTAAGAGCTAAAAGTTCTTTGGTTTTCGAATACTAATTAAAAATCCTTTAAAATAACAAAATTTTATTAGTGAAATCTAGTAAGTCCATATAATAGTATAATATTTACAAAATTTTAGTACTTTTAGTTGGCAATCATGATATATGGCAAAGTTAATCATTAATAGTAATAGTAACTGTATGCATTTCTAGTAATGAACGACCCCACTCTCTATCTTTTTCAGTTGTAATAAGTGTTATCAAGCCCGCAACGAGGTCCATTCGACTTACCAGCTGAAGAATTTTGAGGAGATTCAGGACGCTTGTAGAATTCTAATTCAGGTGAAGCGCTCCTTCGACCGGTTTTCAGCTGACGATACGTTCCATACATATGAGATGGTACTCCTGAAATGTTCATAAAAAAAATGAAAAATGGCTTTAATAATGCATTAAGCTCTTCGATATAAACTCACACGAGTTTATTATTTACTTTTGCTCTAAAAATAGCGGATTAATGCCACTAAAAGCGTGATTCAAATGTGTTTATGTCGTACCGTTTTTATTGCCCTTGCTTGGTTGAGGGCATTTTTAATTGATTTGCGAATTAAAAAATAAAAAGAAACGCGGCCACGCTGCTAAAGTTAGAAGTGGCGTAATTTTATCTCAATGCACAAATCAAGATAATTTGGAAAATTTGAGGTATTGAGGTTTTTGGGTATTTTTAGCCCTGGTTGCTAGAGAAGAAGTTATGATATTAGATAAAGTCATTTTTTGTTCACAGGGAAAACCAAATATTTTTTTAGTGTTGTTATTATAGCGCCCACTTGAGTCCTCCCACATCAAATTATTTCGTAAACGGATTATTTCCAACTATTCCATTTATTTTCGATTTATTTTTGTAGCGCTTGCAACGAGCGAAAAGCGTCAGACTGTTACTTTTCTTTTATCTTCGTAACGGTGTTTTTCGCTACGGTTTTCATGTGACTTCTTCTTTTTCAGAAATAATAAATAGCACTGTCACATTAAATTTCGCAATGGATTTTACTTCTCTTTCTTTCCCTCTCTCTCTCTCTCCACTATTTTTTTTTTGAGCGGACATAAAATGAGACAAACGCTTCTTGTTTGCCATTATCACAAAATTAACACAAACTGATTGCCCACACTTTCGATTTCAGTGTTTGCCAACGCCGTAAAATTTAATTACTATTCGTTTTTTCCTGAAAAGTGTCCAATTATGCGAACACTTCAGCAAAGCTTTCTGCAATCAGACGCTAGAAATAAACAACATTACTCTCACAATAAGGAATTCGCGCTGAAAATATGCGCTTCCAATTTTAGAACATCCTGAGTGTAACAATTACCACGCAACACGTGGGAAACAATTCGCCAATAAAATCCCGAAAAACAGACTTTTCTAGAAGAAACACATTTTTTTGATTTGTTGAAACCGATCCAGATTGGCGTGATCCAAATTCGTAAACAGCCTCAATATCAAATAAATGTCATCATGCGTGATTTCACTGAAAGTATCATCCTCATATTCAGGCTCGAAGTGTGTAAACAATGTGCGGTTTTGACAAACTGAGCTTGCACTAGCCAAGTTTTGAGACGGGGGCTATTATTAGGTTGGAAATTCAGAGGATGAGTCAGGGGGTGAATTTTTTTGAGCTGTTACTCATTGCATTCGCCACATATGCTTGCACAGGTATGCTTTGAAAGTGAAGCCTGGAGCGAGCATTTTAACTTTCAAGGTGTATTTCGGTGATCTAAATTTATTGCTGCATACTTCTAAAAAAAGGACAGATAGAATATATTCTGCCAACAGATTTTCATATTTCAGAGGAACATATTTCGCTCATTTATTTTCCTAATTGGCTATTATGTGGATGCAGTTGTGGGTAAAACGTACCCATTTATCAAAAATTGAGTAACATGTGTCCACACTATAACGAAAAAGTGATTGCAGTTCAGTTAGTATTTATTTTATTTGTAACGACTGAAAAATATGTTAAATACAACATATAAGCTTGTTAGCGGTAAATTAACAACTTGAAGTTCCATATCATTAAGTTTTAAAACACAAGGCAAGCCAATTTTATTTTTTAAATGACATTCACAGTTAAATTTAACATAATTAAAAACAGAATTTTTTATATCAGTGACACACATGTCACATCCATGTCTCCTTTTTTTTTCAATTTAAAAAATCCACATCTAAGCAGTTTCGTTCAATTCGTTTATTATTGGCCACAAATACATCAAGAGCAATTTTTTGTAAAATCAAAATACGAAAATGGACGAGTAATATTATGATTTAATCTGCAACGGAGCAAACGTTCTGGATATTATTTTGCTTAAGTAGCATTTGCTGCTGCTATGATAATTTTTATTTTATTATTATCAAGTATAGGCGGGGGCAACATTACTGTATTCTCAGGTTTTCTAGAAAATGGGGTGAATCCTGACTTGGACAATAAAAAAATTGTTCGTGTTAGTAATTCAACATTTTTACTAGCGAATACCACACGTCAAGTGCCCTTATACGGGTTTAAAATTTGATGATACAATCTGGATTTTTTTGCGAAAATCTGCATGCCGACGGTAAAAAATCAAGGCGGACTCATGAACCACAAGTACAGGAGTATGTTATTAAATTTAAAGAGGGAATGAATAAATAAATTTTAATTGTTCTGCAGCATTTAATCAATGTTAGTATTTTGTCAATATTACAAAAATTTGGTTTCGCGGATTCAAAGACAAATTACGAGCCATATATGTACAAACAAATTTCAAGCAAGAATTCTGATTGTTTACGATAACATTAAAGTGCGTGCAAAGTTTCAGGATACCTGATTTTTTAGTTTTTCAGTTAAACTTTTGTTTAAAAAAGGGATAGATTTATTTATTTAGCAAAAATTTTGGCTTGTCACCTAGATGATATTACAACATTCAGTGTAGTAATTTCGGAAATTAGTTGTCTGATAAAATCGTCAAGGGTGAGTAGACAGACGGAAACGGGAGTCCTACTTTTGCCAGAGTCTACTAATTATAAAACGTCAAAAAAGTATGAAATTATAAAATATATAAAACAGACTCTCTTGAAGTAAGTAAATAACAACAAAAATTATAGATTAAGAAAAATTAAAACAGTTTACAGGTGCCATGTAATAATAATATAAGGACATCATTAAATTAATTTGTGTCTATCCTCAGTCTGTCATCTGTGTCGATTTTTATTAGACAGATAATAATAATCTTCGAAACTAATGGGCCAATTGTTCTCACATTTTATACGTATGTTAGGAATTATATGTAGATGGTAAAACGCTAACCAAAATTGGTCTAATCACCCCCGCATTTTTTTCCCAGTAAGCGCGAGTTGAATTTTTTAATTAACATACTCTTGTACTTATGATTTATGAATCCACATTTATTTTTCCCAGCTGTATAACAAGCTCTTTTAAGCGACGGTGAATAGGACGATTCCGCCTCAGTCTTTTCTTTTTTTTCCTTATACTGTTAATGCTATTATCTATAGTTTCACTTTCTGAACGTAAGCTAAGGAAGTATTGTAATCGACTCCATTGAACGATTGACTGCTTTTACTTTTTCTGGAACCCTAGACTACGAAAAAATCTGTCGGCCGGTGTAATATTGTATTTTACAAGTTAACTTCGAAATAGTAAAAACCGAATGCTCTGAAATCTTGCAAATGTTTTAAGTTTAGAGGAAACACGATAAATTGTTTATCAAAATTTATTTGTTAATGGCCTCGCTTAAAAATGATAGCGTCATCTTACAACTCTGGCCGAATAATAATCTTTAAATTTTATAAAATAACATGCTCTTGAAGATGTGATTTATGAATCCGTGTTGAGTGTTTTACCCTTGGCATCCAGATTTTTGGGAAAAACATCTAAATTGTATAACAATATTTAAAATTTAAACTGAAACTTCAAAATCCGAATTCTGTGAAATCTTACAAATATCGTAACTGAGTGTAGTTAATTATCAAATTTCATGTTCTTTTAACCGCTGATGTTTGTAATCTCAACCTGCTGATAGTTTAATTCTTTCGAACTATAAACATAAACAGTCGAAGTTAAGCTTGTACTGAGAAATTGAAAATATCTATATTTTTCCCCGTTGGTTATCTGCTTTACATATATATCACTTCATGTTGTCCACACTTGTGCGGGGTGTTAATTACGCCATTGGTTTTTACTTTATAGAGGTTATCAATTTTATAATTTTTTAAAGAAGCGAGATTTGTTGTATTATATTTCAAGGATGAGGGAAGTTCTATCGAAATAACCTGATACCATGTTTAGGCTCTTGTAAAAATAAGTGAACATATGTGTATGAAATCACTATCCTCTCTAAGAACTGTACTTTTCAATAATAATTGATACTTTAAAAGTCAAGAAAAATTAATTTTAGTTAACACCCTGTACCTAATTTATAAATTAATGTGTTTTAATGGAATCCCTTATGTAAATACCTGGTGACCATTAATGATTGAAGCAAATTTTTGGGTTGGCAATTTTGAATAATTGGCATCCATGCCAGTACGTCGGTTCACAGTTGTCAATTTTGACATGACCACGCCTAACAAATGTGTTGATTGGTTGAGGCGATGGAAGCTGTCATAAATGTCACTTTGAAAATCAGGAATGCCATCATAAATGTTTAAATAGGTTGCCAAACTGACTACGTATTATGAACATTTTTTATTACTTAATACAACGAACGTTTTACTGAATTTGTAAGTTAGCGGTCCAGTAGTTTCGAAGATGACTTCTTTAAACATTTTTCACAGAAATTGTTTGCCTAACAGACAACAGAAGATAGGCAATCGGAAACGAGCCAAGAAACGCAAAAACAGATCAAATTAAGACATTCGTCAAAAGTACCGTATTTAATCATCGCAAGTTGTGAATTACACCATGAAAAATTAAAATCAAATCCAATGTTTTATATAAGAAGTGGAAGTGGAAGCAATAAAAAAGTCTGGGTAACCATCGGTATTGTTTGCAATTTCTCTGTTTGACTCCCACGTGTACAATCTCAACAAGTGTTACCGCTTGTTGTCTTAAATTAAGAATGCTTATACATAAATGATTTTGCGTCGTCTCTGCTAATGCACACATGAGTAAACTGTTTCGTTATTTTATTGATTATAAATCAATATTCAAGACGACCCAATTCATTTTCCCGAAAATTCGGGAATACAGTACTTTTATTTTTATTATTTCACTACATCTATCCAAACTGATATACGTGTCCTTGCAAAAATCTTGATGACGTCATCGCATTTTTTTTTTAAATTGCCCCGCCACAGAAAAAACATAATAGGCATGCAGGCGTCATGTTTCCGACAGCGAGGGAAGTACTGTCTAAACTCT